GGGAAAATTGGCTATTTAATATATAGCCCATCTGCATTTCAATTATAGCCACATTACAGTCCCAATTTAAACCCAATTTCTACCGGCCCAATTCCTAAAATCAACCCAACCCCTGACCCAATTAAATTACCCAACCGGACCCCCCTTTTTAAATCTCAATCGTTGATCTAAAAGATCAACGACCCAAACACACCCTTTCCTTTTTAATTTACCAAACCCCCCAACCCTAATTCATTTCTCCTAACCCGCCGCCCTTGAATCCCCTTCCTCTCCCATTCTCTCTGCAAACCTTAGTCGCCGCCATCCAAGCTAACCCTAATCCCTGCATTTCTCGCCTGTTTCCATGGCTTCTCAGGCCATGAAACCCTCATACTCACCTCCTATTGCTCCTGTGTGCTTGGTATTCGAAGGTTTGAGGCTAGACCTCAAAGGTCTCCACTCGGACCTTCACCGATTCGAGGATTCCGGCCATCTCCGGCCTTGCTCCGGTGGCTCTTGGTCTTCTGAGCTTTATTCTGACCTCATCCGACTTAGATCGGACATTTTCGAAGCCTTTCTCATTCTAGGGTTCATCTGAAACCCTAACTATCGAGGTTCTCTCCAATTATTTTTAGACTTGTTATATGTTTGCAATATTGCTTAAGTTTCTTAAACGTTTTCTCCGATTTTCTTTCAAAAAGTTACTTCTTTTCGATTAGGGTTTCTGGAAAAGGTCTTGAAAATGTTTCTGACTCTTCTTCTTCTTGTTTTCTTGGTGTGAATCGATCCCTGCTATGTTCTTATTTGCTCTTTTCTGACTCGCATGCTTTTTTGTGTGTTCTTATATTTGCTGTATTATGAAGTTTTCTGTTTCTCTCACATGCCTATTTTATGTGTTCCTTTACTGTGTTTTCCTACTGAGTTTTAGTCCTTGTTTTCCTTTACCAGACTTTGTTCTTTCTAGATGTGTTTCATCAACTATTTCCTTAAGTTTACACTATCCCTTTATCCCCTGAACTCGTTTAAATTCCAAGCTTTTCTTGAAACTTGTTCCCTGTACCTCAAATTAGTTTCCATGTTCTATTTGCCTTGAACCTGCTATTGTGGTTGTATGTTTTCTCATGAGACTCTGAAAGAGGCCTCTGAGTCTGTTTCAATAGCTTGCCTTCTCATCTTTGTGTTGAATTCGAGTTTAAAAACCCTAAGATTTGGGGTTTCTTTGGCAATTTTGATTTTTGTTTGGACAGGGGTTCTACTTTGAAACTTTGAACTCTCGGACTCACTCCGAGTTTATGAACTGAATTTGAACTTTTTCTGCGTTTGTGATTTTGAAACTTTCTTGCTAGCATAACATCATTCTTGCTTGACCTGTCTATGTGTTTTATATATGAGAGCTTCTCTTTCAAAGGTTTTGCCAACTGTTAATTGATTCTGAATCCCTTTAATGTTGCTTACTTGATTGTTACTGATTTTCCCCTTAATTAAACTTTCCTTTAACACTTTTCTAACTCGGTTCAATCGAACAAGGCTTTCCACTTGGTTCTTTTACTGGCTGTTTTACTGATTCCCTTTCCTTGGTTTTCACAAATCAAGTACCACTAGACTTTTACCTAAAATAGTTTTTATGTATTTACTTTTTATTGTACTGCTTGGGAAAATATTCTGATTGACCCTTTCCTTAACTATCTTTACCCGTTGGAAATCAGAATCCCTTAATTGAAGGGAAATTAATTTTCAAAGGTTTTTTTCCTTACCTTTTCTTACTTGCTGCACTATAAAAGGGCCTTCCCTTCTATACTTTCAACAATCCTCATTCACTGATTTTCGAATCACAAACTCTCTTGCACTCTTTACTCTCTTCTGAGATCTTTTGCATTGCTTGCTCGCAATTTGGCTTACCAAAGCTTCTGCTTTTCATTTATTTTTCTGAAACTGGTATGTCCTACTTTTGATTCTAGCATCAACTCCAATGTGTTTATTTACAAGCTTTTATGCCCATGCCTACTTTACTGCTTTGTAGAGTTCAACTTTAAAGTAATGCTTATGTCTTGCTATCTGTTGCTGCAATGAATCCCTATCGCCATCCCCCTTTTATGTGCTTGGGCTGTAGTATAAGACATAGCAATATACAAAGTTATTGTCATGGATTAAAACTGGGTCCTTTGGATCCTAGACTCTTTCAATTTCCCATACCCCATTCCCTTATGTGTATTGAGTTAAGGTATAGCGTGGTAGCATCCAAGTTGTTGTCCAGGGCTGAACCTGACCTTCAAAAGGTCCTAATTCTCTAATTTTTAAGCCGACCAGCTGGTCAGGGGTGTGCTAGCATTCCAGTTGCTGGGCATGACCACCAGCCTGCCCTGGCTCCCCCTAATTCCCTTTCATTGCACTTACACTTACTCCTAGTCTCTATGTTCTGCCCCCTCCTATGAGCCTTGCCTTGGGACCTTGAGTTCCCTGTGAACTTGGACATTTGAGGGCTGGCCCCTCCATACTGCACTATGTTCTTAACTCTGCAATGATATTTGGGGTGTAAGCATTGCCTGGAATTCTTGAAGTTCCTTGGAAGTTTGACACATCCCAAATAAGAGAAAGGCTTTGAAAATCTGATCCTGGAAGTTGGTTTATCTCATATTATTAGACTTTGAGTCTGGATTAGTCTGATTAGATGTAGATGTAATCACTGATGTAATTTTTTTATTCAAATTCTGCATTTTCACATAGAAATCATGTCTTTAGGATATTTACCCTTTAAAATTCTGCATCTCACATAGGAATCATGTTCATAGGATCATTACTTTCAAACTCTACATTTTCACATAGATACCATGTCTATAGGATATCTACTCTTTAAAATTCTACATCTCGCCTAGAAACCATGTTCATAGGGTTATCACTTTCAAAGCCTGCATTTTTCACATAGATACCATGCCCATAGATTTTCTACACTTTGTAATAATACCATGGCAATAAATCGATAATGAAACTCTGCATATTGTATAGTTAATATGCCTATAGGACTTCCTGCACTTTGCATATACATTTGTCATTAGGCAAGCCTGCTTATAGGAGTTAAAATAACTCATTACATATAGATGACCTGCCTATAAGATCTCTGCTCAAAATCAGTTACACCTAGAAAGCATGCCTATAAAAAACTATCAACTTAATCAGAATCGCCACTCGTTCCTAAGTTTAAAATCAGTGGCAATTTGTTTAACACTCGTAGAGCTTATAACTAATGACTTTTTGCAAACAGTTATTCCTCCGTCCCTGGATTAATAGATATCATGCCTATAGGCCCTGCTTAACATACAAATAGTTAGATAATTAATCAACTGTCAGTTTTCGACAACTACATCTAAGCAGGACTAATCTGGACTCCCTATCTGGGAAATATGTGGTAAATCAATTCTTCCTGCGCTAATTTTAATTAATCACCTAAGCAGTATGTGCAAGACATGCTAAACAATTTGTTTCTTTAAGTGAGGAGGCCTACTTGAGCCTTTAATTGTTCTTATTTTCCCATTAATTGCTTTATGTGTTTTGTTTGTCGCCCTAGAATTTTATCCTTTTAAAACCCCTGAAAAGCCAAGCTCCCTCCTTTTTAGGATTAGTAGTCCTAAACGCCTCCGGGACTGATAGGTGGGAAGGGTAATAACATGCAGTAGGTAACGATACGATTCCGTGCTTAAATACCTTAACGGGGTGGGAAGGGTAGACATGGAGATGATGATGACATGATAACACTATGCGTACGATTGATTACCGGTGTTGTGTGGATGATCCATGTGTTTTACAAACCTAGGACCCCCTTTCCTTTATGTGACTTTGTTTAATATCAATAAAATTCTGTCTTTTCAACTACCCAAAACCCCTCTTTAATTTTACTGCATTATTCCTTTTTCCCTAAATTTTTCTTCTTTGTTTATTCAATGTCTTGATTAATTTTCTGCATTTAAACCCTCCGTCAAACCAATTGTAGATCATTTAGACCTTGATTTCAACATGCTTGTTACGTACCTATTTGTAACCCTTATGTGTTTAGTTATTTGTATACGTATTTGCATTAAAGTCACAACATAGCATGGCCGGGAACCACACTAGTGGATCTTGAGGGGTGCCTAACACCTTCCCCTCAAGATAATTTCTAGCCCTTACCCGAACTCTGGTTTTCAAACTCAAAACTCTCAGTGTCCTAATGCACGTAATCATTAGGTGGCGGCTTTTCAATTCCAAAAGCCCAATTCCCACACGGGAATAGAGTTGTCTTCTCAAATGTCGTAAACCCGATTTCGCGAGAAAAAGGGGGCGTCGACAGCATGGCGACTCTGCTGAGGACTTCTTTAGGCTTTTAACATTACATGTTATTCGTGACTTTATTGCTTCTTTATTGATTTTATTTAATGTCTTTATCTCTCTTCTACTTCGAAACTGACTTGGCTTTTTTGTTTCTTTTTCTTTCTTTGACGCTTTCATTTACTGTTTTCCTCCAATACCGTTGTAATTTTCGAGCAATTATTGTAATCATTATGAACGTGAAAATACGTGACAATTTGTTTCATTTTTTGTAATTGCATCTTCAATATCATATTCCACTCGTGCCAAACAAATACCATAGCAACGCTTGATGAGTTGTTGCGCTCTTCCGATATTATTACCCCCTAATTTTGGCAAAGGCATATTTGCGGTAAAACCAGTCGATCAGCGGTGCAGTCGACGGTTCCGTGCCTTTCCCTCTTGAGTTGTCCGCTCAAGGGTACCGGTCTAGCACCTCATAGAAACCTTATTCTATTTAATTGTTCATGCATCACTGTCAAACCTAGTCGAGTCAGTTATGCTGTCCACATAATGACTCTTTAAGATAGCCTTTTCCAAAGTCGACTGGGTTCCCCTGGAACCCAAACGGACAACACCATTGTTCTGTGCATTTATTTGGAGAACTAAATGCCATTATGCTAATTATTGATTTAAATAGTCAAGTCCGGTGGGTTAAGGGACTAACACTTTGTTTTGCAGAAATGAGGCACGAAATCCCCAGATTCAGTGCCAATTGCCATTTAGCTAATAAGCCAGTGGAGATTGAGTTTCCACAAGCGGTACTTCCTGATACTTTATTTGAAGCAGTTGTTCGAATTCCTTATGATATGCAACTGAAACAGGTTCCTTCTAATGGCAAAAGGGGGGGTTGAACGTGGGGGCTGTTCTTATTTTACCGGAGGGGTTTGAATTAGCTCCTCCCGATCATATTTCTCCCGAGATGAAAGAAAAGATTGGCAATTTGTCTTTTTCAGAGCTATCACCCCAATAAAAAAAATATTCTTGTGATAGGCCCTGTCCCTGGTCAAAAATATATTGAAATAACCTTCCCTATTCTTTCCCTGGACCCTGAACCAATATTCACCCAAGGTTGCGAAGCTGGTGGAAAGACCTTCACTCTAGTGACCAGACTCTCATCCGCAAATATTTGGGTACTTACCTTCTCTTTTGGAAATCCAGCCTGAGAACAAAATCATAGAGGCTGCGACCTTATTCTGGGACAGTGATAGATCAGTGTTTCGATTTGGGGACCTTGAAATGACCCCATTGCTCGAAGAAATAGGTGGGTTAGCCGGTATTCCTTGGGAGACTCCGGGTTTGCTCATGCCAGAAAACCGCAAGGGTAGGGGTTTCTTCAAAATGATGGGGTTGAAGAGAAACTCAGATCTGACTTGTTTGAAGGACTCCTATATTCCTTTCGACTATCTGTACGAGAGGTACGGTCATAGCAAGTTCTACCGCACCTATTCAGATGAATTCGCCCTCACATCACTAGGGCATATCCACAAGAGGGTTTTCGTCTTTATGTTCTGCTTTTTGGGAATGATAGTATTTCCTATGAAGAAGGCTAGGATCCATACCAGACTAGCCATGGTCACCAAGACAATAATGGAAGGGATTGGAGGGCAGCCTTTCAGCATAGTGCCCATGATTGTTGCTGAAATCTACCGAGCTTTGGAGAACTGTCAATGAGGGGCCAGTCACTTTGAGGGTTGCAACTTACTACTCCAACTATGGCTTATAGAACATCTCCAAAGGGGTCAATACCGTCAAGAGCTTCTGCGAAGGCCGTGGAATGTTCATATAGCCTTTCACCATCCCAAGAGGATGAACTATATGCCTGACATGTTTGCTCAGCCGGGGGATGTTCGAGGATGGGTAGAGTTGTTTGAAAACTTGAAAGAAGACAAGGTGCAGTGGATGTTCGAATGGTTCCCCACTGGAGAGTTCATCATCCGCTCTCGGGACGCTCCATTTCTTATACTCATTGGTATGAGGGGAACTTATCCCTATGTCCCTCTTCGAGTCATAAGGCAGGCAAGGAGAAAGCAAGTCGTACCAAAGGTCGAAAAGATGAGTCATTTCATGGCTGATTTCCAAGACGACGATAGTCCATACAAATGTCAAGCTCAACACATGTGGAACAACAAGATCATCCTGGAAAAGGATTCCATAGAGCCTGACAGATATCATGCCGGTTACACCCCATACTATCCAGGTTGGCTAGAAGAGGATCACGCTGGGTTAGGACAGCCCGGGTCTGTTCGAGGTCACAGGGTCATCGACGAGAGGGCTGAAATACAGGTTAAATACAACCAGTTGCGCAAGAGGATCAGGGAGTGCAAGAGTGAACACCAGGAAATTCAAGAAGCAAATCAAAAGTTGATCGAGGAATGAAAGGATATGGTTGTCAACGCCAACAAGCGTCTAGGGCATTTGGAGCGAGGGTTGGTAGAGCTGGAAGGGAAATTCATCCGGAGGATCGAGAATTGCCAAAATGCTGAGGGAAATGAAGGAGGACATTTGGCTAGGGCTTATCTACTGTTGGGGCTGCGTGAGCTGGTGAAGCTGTTCGATGGAGCTAAAGATGCCGAATCTGGGGAAGGTCCTTCTGGGACCAAATAGTTAGGAGTCTCTTTTCCTTTTTGCTTTAAAATGTAATAAGGCCAATGGCTATTAGTGATATTTTTACTTTATGCAATCTTAGTGTCGTTTTGGGATTCGTCTTATTTTTATGAATAAAATGAGGCATTTAGCATTATAAGTTCTCCAAATTAACTTGTCGCTAGGCCTACCTCGGGCACAACGAGGCACCCGATTTAGGACACGATTCATATTCCTATACTACGTGTTTAAGTATTGCTATATTTTTTCTCGGAATCCATACTAACTTGTTACCTTTTTGTTTTTTCTTTTATTTTTATTCCCCTCCCCAAAAGGTTAGTTCGTGCACTCTCGCATCATCATCCTACTCCACAAGATCTAAGGGCCGTCCACCTCCTCCTCCTCCAAGTCCTATCAAAATCAATAACAAAGCAAAAATGGAGGACGTAAACAACATCAGAAAGGAGAACTCACTTGAGGTCTAAATCCCTAATTTCTACCCAAAAATCCCAATTCCACTATGAAAACTTTAGATTCTAGGTTAAAATCTCGTAAAATGAAGTGAAAGATTGAAAGAAACCAATTTAGAATCATTTACCTATGATTTGGAGAAGAAATGGTCTTTGGAAAATTAGCCTGTTGAATCACTTACCGTCCAAAAGTCATTTTGATCAGTTGTAGGTGTCGCATTTGCGACCTGGGGTTCGCAAATGCGAGCCCCACAAATGCGAATAACCTATCGCAAATGCGAAGGTCTCCCCATTCCTGCTTTCATCGCAAATGCGAAGAATGTCTCGCAAATGCGAGCCTGACCTTTCGCAATTGTGACCAATTGATCGCAATTGTGATTCCTGCCATTCCCAGACTCCCTATGCAAATGCGAAGGAAAGTTCGCAATTGCAAACACTGCTGGCCCAGCTTCTCCTCGCAAATGCGAGGATTAGCTTGCAAATACGGACCCCTCAGAGGTTGCAATTGCGATGCCTGGTCTCGCAAATGCGAGATCTGAGGCATGCAACCTGCTCAGTTACACCAGCAAATTTTTTCAAGTTCAAATCACTCCGTAGCCTATCCGAAAGTGACCCGAGCCCTCGGGGCTCCAAACCAAATATTCACACAAGTCCTAAAACATCATACGAACTTGCTCGTGCAATCAAATTGCCAAAATATCACCTAGAACTACGAATTTAGCACCAAATCAAATGAAATTCTCAAGAACACTTTGAAATTTCTATTTTCACAACCGGACGTCCGAATCACGTCAAATCGACTCCGTTTCTCACCAAATTTCACAGACATGTCTTAAATATTATGTTGAACATGTACCGAGCTTCGAAACCAAAATACAAACCCGATACCAACAAGATCAAACATCAATTCATTTGTATGCGGTAAAATCGGAGGGTCTAATTTTCGGCTATTACGATGCTTCGTATGCAAGCTTTCCAAAGGCTCGAGACAACGGTCGAGATTTACACCCGAGGGGCCATCGATGCCCAACCTCGACACAGTACAAGCCGGCAGTTATGATAGAAAAGTGGGAAGTTCCCTAGGCGTACGACTAGAGCTGATAAAGTCTAGTAGACTAGTGGGAAGTTCTCTAACATATTCTCTTGTCCCATTACTTCCATTTATTGCTTACATTCATTGTGTTCCATTTATTGTTCTTCATTTATCGCTTATCATCGGCCATAAAGATCCGTCATTGAATTTATTATAACTGTTAGCCTCTCCATCGACTGCCTACGGCAAGGTATAGGGCTCGACCCCGAGGCCTTATAAACGGCAGCTCGAGCCCCCGCTTATCAGCCTATTGGTTCGGTTATCACCTTGTTTTCAAGCTCTTATCTCGTTTTCCAATCTCTCACTTAACATCTATTGCCTAAAACACTAGCATAAAAATAGATCACGTATTTTTAGAACCACAAAATCAAATCTAGTTGTAATTACCATTTTCAAGGTAAACAGTTTGGCGCCCACCGTGGGGATAAAAATAATAGTGATTATTTTCTTGCTGGTTTAACTACGTAACGCAAGTTATCTTTCGCACTTCTTCTTGTCCAAGATCTTTGATTTCGGGTCAAAATATCTAACTCCGTAAATGCACGTGAAAACATCAATCTTGAAGACCACGGATAAAATGGTGTTGACGTCCCAGGTGTTGGTGTGCCACCACATAACCCTGAGAATGCACCAGAATCAATTCCCATGGACGTAGTCTCGCGAATCGCTCAACACGTCGAAATAAGCTCCCACACCAACAGGAGCATACACCAAGAAGATAAACAAGAAGCTCATAAAACCCAGTTAGGGAAGAACGAGAGGTTAGCCTTCACGTTATTTTTGAAATGTTACAGGCACAACAGCTCGCGATCGCTCAGCTGCAAAGTCACCAGAAAACTCCCAGCACGGTAGCACCGAGGACGGATCCCCTAGCCGCGCAGGTACAAGAGAGGTCAAGCAATAACGGGTCGGCAGTCGTCCCCGCCATCGTAAAGATGCTCGAGGACCTCACAAAGAGGATCGAGTCGGGCGAGAAGAAGATAGAAGCCAACGACAAGAAGGTCGAGACCTACAATTCCAGGGTCGACCAGATTCCGAGCGCACCCCCGATCCTGAAAGGTGTGGATTCAAAGAAGTTCGTACAAAAGCCGTTCCCATAGGAAGCGGCTCGGAAACCCATTCCGAAGAAGTTCAGAATGCCAGACCTTCCGAAGTACAACGGAACCTCAGACCCCAATGAGCACGATACTTCTTACACTTGTGCAGTGAAGGGCAATGACCTAAAGGACGACGAGATCGAGTCCGTCCTACGGAAGAAGTTCGGAGAAATGCTTTCTAAAGGGGCAATGATGTGGTGTCACAACCTGGCCCTAAACTTGATAGATTCATTTGCCATGCTGGCAGATTCTTTCATAAAGGCACATGCTGGTGCCATCAAAGTAGCAACAAGGAAATCTGACGTCCTCAAGATCAAGCAAAGAGAGAATGAAATGCTGCGAGAGTTTGTATCTCGCTTTCAAATGGAACGAATGGAACTACCACTGGTCTCCGACGACTGGGTAGTGCAGGCCTTCGCTCAAGGTCTGAATGAATGAAGCTCAGTGGCTTCGAAACAGCTGAAACAGAACCTAGTAGAATACCCGATCGTGACTTGGTCGAACATCCACAACCGATACCAATCAAAGATCAGGGTCAAAGACGACCAACTAGGAGCCCGCTCGAGCTTGGCATATCC